AGCTGGCATATGCTGTCTATTTTCCTCTTTCTGCAGCGCTGTGCTGCCACACGGTTTTTGCTTCTTCTGCGGACATCATGAACAAAGTCCAGCTGATCTGGGGTCAGGTTGTGGTGTCTCAGAAGCTGCTGGAAGGCACTCCGGCTCAGGGCTGAGATCTGCTCCACGGGGAATGGGAGCTGAATCTGTTGAAAACAAGGTTTGGAGTTAGATTTTAGTTGATAATAATAACTTTAACAACTTATAGTGAGAGATAGGCTGTTGATGACAATGACCTCTGCTGCTCTTTTGTTGTTTGCCTCAGTATCTCCATCTGTGTCTAGGTCTGAATCATCCCCAGAGTTGAGCGAGGAGGACATGTAGGGGCTCTTCTCTGACTGGGACAGGTTGTCAGTGCGTTGACCTGGGTCCTCATCTGTGGCGAGGTCCCTTAGAAAGGGACAGTCTCCTACACTGGAGCTCAGGTCCAGCTGCTTAAGCCAATGAAAGTCTGAAGCTTTTGCCAGATTGTTTTGGTCAATGGGATCCAGGGGAAGTGGTTGAGCCTGAGATGGGCATAGATCAGACCAAAATCCTTTTGCCAGATGTTCAGCTACCTCCCTTTCCACGCTGCTCCTCTCCCCAGTCCCCTCTTCCTGGCTTAGAGCAGTTAGTGTAGCATCTGAAAGATCACCTGCCATGCTCTGTTCAAGGCCTACCTCAGTCTGCTTTAATAACTCACTGCAATCTTCCACCCCTGATGTGTTGAGGGGGCAGGAACCAGGAGCACAGTTGGTTTCAGCAACCAGCGTCTCAACAGCCTGTTTAACATTGCTACTTGCTGGCTCACTGAGCTCTGGTGGATTGACATCCCCTGGGGCCGACAGCTCACAGGGTAAGCCACAGTTGGCCAAACTTAATTCACTTTCATTACACACATCTCCTATCTCTAAAATGTCTCTTTCGCAATACTGAGGAGGGTGATCTGCTTTTTCAGATTCTGGGCACGGCAAAGACAACATGGGGCACACAACATTTGTTGATAACTCCAGAGATAGGGGGGGCATTTGTGGCCCACAGTTCTCCAAACAGAAGTGTTCTTCCCTGCTGTTCGTCTGACCCTGTGCGGTCTGAGGACACTGTGGTGGAAAGTTTTCTTGTTCATCACCTCCTGAAGGCACTGAGCTGTGTGACTCTATTGAGTTTGGTTGGCTGCTCTTTACACTGGAGCCAAAGCTGGCACTTGGATCCCGACTTCGACAACAGGCTCTGCGCCTGACCTCCTGAGAGGTTCTTTTGCCTTCAGAAAACTTAGGGATGAGGAAATCAAAGCAAGCAGACTCCAAGTTATGAAATCCTAAAAACTCAGCACTGCTGTGAATGGCATGAATGTTTTCTTTGGTGAAGGGCAGCTTTGATGTGTATGCAAATTGAAGCAAAGGCTCAAACCCTTCGACAGTCACCTGTGAGACAAGGAGATACAGCAGATTTATGAGGCACAATGTCAATTTAGATCACAAAATATGGCCATACCAGAAAGGTGATCGGCTAATTGAAGAATATTTTATGAAAATGCTGTTTACCCATAGTATCTCACATTAGTGACCACACTAAAATATAGGCTCAGTGGGCACTGAGACATTTATTCAAAATTAACAGAACATGAATTATAATAAATAATGCTATTTATGTAATGTATGACTAACAGACACACTGCTGCCACAGACATTATTGTGTTAATATGTGGCATGAGGCATGAGGTACATTGCAAGGGTTGCAAACTGGAACAACAGTCATGTTACACAATGTCATTTCCTGCAGGACAGAAAACATGAACATTGGAGAGTCTGCTTTTCTCATATCAAACAGTGAAGAAAGCTTATAGCCACTGTAGAAAGTAGAATATAGTCTTGTTTAAAGCTTTTAAGGTGATTAGTCTGTATGTATCAATTGTGTAGCTTGAAGTGTATTGTGACATTTTGTGGATCACAAATGTTATGAATATTGTGTTGATCATGGCCTTAAAATATTAAATCACTCAAAAACTTGAATGTAGGCACATAAAAGTGGCAAATACGCTAAAATTGCGACACACAATATGTTCATGCAATCCATTTGGATGAACTGAATCAAACCCACCTCGTCAGGCAAGGTGATGATGGGATTATGTCTGGTGACATTGGTAACCCTGCTGTGAAAGTATTCACTGCAGGAAGCCAAGACAGAGCAGTGGGCCCGAAAACTCCTGTTTTCCACAACCACAGTCACATCACACAGAACATCCTGCTGCCTCTGCTCATCCAGACACTGGAGAACATGGGCGCAATGCACTGCAGACTGAAAGGTGAATACCGAAATACGAGGAGCTTGGAGTGACATGGTTCTTACAAGTTCAGCCTGTGTGACAGAGGGAGCATGGAGGAATCAAACAAAGCACCAAAAGGACAAGACACTGTTATGATTTCAATAGACCACAATGTGGATTCTAGCTGCCTTGATACCCAGTACTTGATGTATAATTTACAGAAAATTACTAAGTCATTAGCCTCAGCTATACTCAACTGGTGTACTCTGTATTTTCTTAATATCTCAATAACAGTACATTAATAATGTTCAACTCTTCTGCCACATTCGATAACATCATCTCGGACTTGTTGGCACTTTCAGATGATCTGACATTTTTAACCCAAAATAAGTAATTGCGATAATAATACATAAACAATAAGGAAGTTACGGTTTATTTTTTAATTTGTCTCTAGCAGAGGGCAAAATGTATAAAAATGTAAACCAGTAAATGAATAGCTATCAAATTTATCTGAAATGGTTCTTCTTGGCATGAGTGGAAAAAACAACCTTAAAAAGGATCCTTTGGGGATTTGAAACCACTGCCAATGTGCTACGCTAATACAACTCCGCTGTCACGAGGACAGATACAGGAAATCTTTCTTAACGAAGGCCATGACTCTGTACAACAGCTCACCTCTTGAGAGCAGAGAACTGTCATCATGATAATATCTGTCTCTCCATACTGTAATCTGTTCTGCACATGTTACATTTACAAATTATCCCTGCACTCATGTTCACTTCATTTGTCTGTCTACTCGCCGTTATATTGTATAGTTTCTGCTTATAATATGTTTACACTCATGCACTTTAACTTATGTCAATACTGTCTAGTTACAACTCTGTTTTTGCACATTTACATTCAATCTTTCATATTTAATTTACAACCATTTACGACTCTGTTTTTGCAAATTTACATTTAATCTTTCATATTTAATTTACAACCATTTACGACTGTTCTTGCACATTTACATTTAATCTTTTACATTTAATTTACAACCATTTACGACTCTGTTCTTGCACATTTAAAGTTAATCTTTCAAATTTAATTTACACCCATTTACGACTCTGTTTTTGCAAATTTACATTTAATCTTTCATATTTAATTTACAACCATTTACGACTGTTTTTGCACATTTACATTTAATCTTTCATATTTAATTTACAACCATTTACGATTCTGTTTTTGCAAATTTACATTTAATCTTTCATATTTAATTTACAACCATTTACGACTGTTCTTGCACATTTACATTTAATCTTTTACATTTAATTTACAACCATTTACGACTCTGTTTTTGCACATTTAAAGTTAATCTTTCATATTTAATTTACAACCATTTACGACTGTTTTTGCACATTTACATTTAATAATACATTTAATCCATATTTAATCTTCCTATTTAAGACTAGAAATGCTTAGTTAAATCCTGGTTGTAGATATTCCCATTCTTAGTTTTTTAGTACTTATTTACTTTGTATTTAATATTACATTATGTTTAGATTTGCTTACATTGTGTTTTTTACTCATATTGTGTGTTTGGATAACCTGCTGCTCTAACGCCACAAATTCCCAGTTTGGGATCAATAAAGTCATTATATTATATGATATGATATTATATGATATTATATGATATTATATGATATTATATTATATGATATTATATGATATTATATGATATGATATTATATTATATTATATGATATGATATGATATTATATGATATGATATTGTATTGAAGGAGAACGACCTGCCCTGACACTGTGACTGTACCTCGTCATGTTATCGGACCTGATAGCGTATCTAAATACAAGACTGAATTACTAAGATAAACAATGCATTAGCAGCTGTCATCCAAACGGTGAAGATAAACACTCATGATGATCTGTGATTTAAGATCACTGCAGCCAGTAGATTTATTTTAACTCTTTAACCTGTGCAGCAAGTTTAAAATGCTGAGTCATGATAATGCAAGTTACCCAGACTGAGCATGGCGGACAGTTCGTAATGTAATCATCCACATTAAGGGAAAAGAGGATCTGTTAATCCGGATTAGACACGTTTCATTCCGATATGCATGTTATGACAGTAGTCCTCAAACAAAACAAAAAGGTTTAAGCTAGGTCACACTGTTAGCTTTACCAACTCTTCAACTCTTCTCCTCCTGTTGTAAAGCTCAAATACTTTCTTTAATAGTTACTGTAGGTCTACGTAGTCGTTTAGAAAGGGCAAACGTTCACTGACCTGTCATTGTTAACTTAATAACACTGTTATTGGTAATTCTGGGACGAGACGGTTCTTGCCATCCGGAGCCAGACTTTGCTCTCGTCATGTGACAACCAGAACCAGAAGCTAATGCAACACACTGCGCATGCTCAGTGCAGCCAGAAAGCAAACCACAAGAGAAACTTTTTTTTTTTTTTGAAGCATTTCATTGTTTAAAAATATGTGTATAAATACTTTTTACAAATTACTATCCTTCCAACTTTCATTCATCTCCTGAATTTTTTTTTTTTTGCAGCACAAATCCATTATTACAATTTTCCAAATTTCAGTTTTTACTTAAGCACATATGTTGCCATATTTTCGGTAAGTAGCATACAGCAATTCTGTTTGATACTTGAAACACTGTGTTACACCACTGTGATAAAACAAATGTCAGCACTTTCATTTGTCCCTTCTGTATAATCAGTATAATTCGATCACATTCCTGTTGGAAGCTGTGACGAATCAGGCCAAGGTTGGTCAACTGTTTGTCGTGCTGCACGGCTGAAGCAGCAGCAGCAGCAGCAGGTTGGTCTGTTTGCATTTCCTGAGAAGTAAGGCACAGGTGGATTAGACGATTCTTTCATAGAAGAGGAGGTAGGCTTGGCAACTCTGCACTTTACTCTCGCTCACAGGCTGAACACTTGTGTCGCTGATATGGAACCAGGATCCTCTGGGTGGCTCTGCATCTCCTGAAAGGAAGATGTTGTAGTGGAGATACTTTAAATGTCAAAGCTGCGTTATTATTGTATTGATAGATACAAAAATGTTTTACCAAATCATTATTCTGTTGATAGTGATGAACAAGAACACCTACCTTGTGCTGTTAGACCATTTGAAGGGGTTTTAGGACATTCAGGTCGTACTTTCACATACGCAGTGTAATGACCTGACCTCATGGTTCCACTATGCTCTACAATACCGTACAAGCTGTACAAGATCTGAGCATCTCCCTCTGTCACATTCTGTTTGGGGAAAAAAAACGTTTATTTAATACTCAAATTACAACACAGCTCTGATAGATTTAGAAATAGTACTCTAGCAATAATGACACTTAAGAAAAGCTAGTAATCTAAATATTTACCTTGCTTTTGACCCCACAAAAGGGAGCTAGATCCAGGATGAAAGGGAATTCGACATGTCTGTTCACCTTACAAATACTGTATCCATTCTAAAAGGAAAAGAAACAATACAATCTCTTTAAAGTTCCATAAAACAAGACATGATCAAAACCAAACAACAATACATGATGCTCATTAAGTTGGGTCACAACTATGTTTCAAACGGCAGCTTCCTTCTCTGACAGTCAATGGGATAATAATAATAATATAATAATATAAGTTTATTTATAAAGCACTTATCAAAACCAACGTCACTAAGTGCTTTACAGAAAAAAGAAAAAAATCCCAACAAATACACAACAATAAAATCCTATTAAAAGCATGAAAAATAAAACAACATCAATCATTCAATTAACAGAGAAAAGAGAAACAACCGAGACAAAGATTGGCTAAAGTTAACAGTAAAACAAAATAAAACATCCTGGACAAAACAAGGATTATAAGAAGGCCTTACGATAAAAATGTGCTTTTAAAAGTGATTTAAAAAGAAGATACTGATGTAGCTAGTCTGAGATCCTCATCAAAAGGTATAAAGATGCTGTTGAAGCTCACCTGTTGAAATCTCTTCAGGTGAAGGGTAAGCACTGGTGGGGGAGAGGAGATCAGCATCTGCTTCAAGGCATCAGTGTAGATATTTTTCTTGGATCCTACACTCACAAAGACAAAGACAATAAAATATATTCATCCCAAAAGAGAAAAAGTGAATACTGCTCTATCCAGATATTACATTCATGATAAACTATAAACAATTTAGTTTGCAGATGGATAGTACACGTACCTCCACTTCTGTCTGTATTTGGCTGCCGTTTAGTGCAGGTAACACATAGCAGGCTGTTGTTCTGTGTGAGAGTTTCCACTTCTGTGAACTGGAAGAGGCAGGACTGAACTGAACACTCCTGTTTCTCAGGGCTCATCCTGGTAGCCAGTGTGTGGAAGGCCAGCTCTGGGTCCTGACTTACAACAGTGTATTCTTTAGCCTCCAGCGGCTCATCCTCACTCTCCCTGCCTTTTTCCACGGAAGCCGGGCCTTCGAGGAAGGCGTCGTCCAGGCTTACTTTCTCCATTTCGCTCACCAGCTGTGTGTCCTCTTCCGCTTCTTGGTCAGAGTCAGACGTTTTTTCATCGTCTACGATGCTGTCATTTGTGTGCTGATCTTCTGATAGGACAGTAAAACGATTACTGACCGGCGACACAGTTGAGTCGCAGTCAATCACAGAATCATCCTCCCCTTCTTTTTCCTTCTCATCCTCGACCGTGTTAAGGTTGTTAGCATCTTCTTCCGACACACTGATTTGCGCAGGATTTTCTTCTTCATGCATTTCACTTTCAGCATTTTCCTCATCCTTTGCCTCGGTACTAGGATCTGTCTGTTCGCTGTCTGAGTTGCCCGTATATGTGAGACTTTCCAAAGTTGCTCGCCCGTCAAACTTCTGCTGCCTCTTTTGTTGCTTTAGGGAAAACACAGAAAGAATACTTTTTGTTAAAGTAATGACAATAATACAACAATCATCCGTGAAGAACATGCGTTAAGGGCAAAAGAAAAGCATCTTCTGAATGAAGTCAGTGATGAACCTTGGCTTGCTTCTTTGCCTGCTTCTTTGCTTTCTTCTGCTGGTACTTGCTGCCTGTCCCGGTAAAACACTGTCACTTCCATTGGTCAAAGCAGGGCTGACTCTGCCTTCCTGGCTTGAGTCACTGGATTTCTGAGGACCTTTTTTCTGAGTCTTCTTCCTGTATGCCTGCATGTGGTCACAAGTGGGCACAAGTAAAAGACAGAAAACAAAAACAAATTGCCTAACAATGGTCAAAACCCCCTTTGAAGGTCTTACCTCGTCTGAGACAGGAAGGGAGAGATCCAAAAACATCTCCGTGACTACCGACACCTTGAAGTAAATAAAGTAGAAACAATTTAGGTTGAAATCAACATGTCATCGGGTTATCCTGCATTTCTTTCACAATACATACCGTTTTACACTGCTGGCACATTACAGTACTAGTAGTTTCCCCACCGAACACATGGTCCACTAAGTTTTTTGGACATCCATTTTTCTCATACTCTGAAACGAGAACACAAGTGTGACAATAACACAGTTTTAAAAAAAAAAGAAAAGCAACAGAGTTGGACACCAATCACAAGATATCAAAATGAACTTTACCTTTAACTAGTGTCTTCAGCTGCTCTGAATCTTTGCTTTTTGTAGATTCCTTTAATACCTCCGTGATCCCTGAGCTTACTCTCTAGAAGAGAAACACAACATTTAGATTGTAGGAAGAAATGGCGGAGTTATAAGGAAGACAACAACTTCATAGAATCTTTATAAATTCAGCCTCTTTATCTCTCTGTTATTAAACCCCTGCTCTTCGAAAATGATCCAACCTATGGGTTAGCTTTCTGCCAAATCAAAATCTGTCAGACCATAAAATTTGAGGGAAAAGGACAAGCTAAGATGTTTTTTACCTGTCCTTGATTTGTGACCTCAATTAAGAGTTTGAATGAGTTGATGTCAGAGCTTAAACAGCTGAAGTGCCCCTTTTAAGTGCCCCAAATGTGAAATATGGACGGATTAGTGTAAACTGAATGCATACCTTGATTTCCTCAGCTCGCATCCCATCCAGAAGATAGCGCAGCAGCTCCTGGCTATCTTGCTGCTGAAATCCTTTGAATCTGGCAGCCCTGCAGAAAAGACATGAGAAGATTACGGCATTCAAAACATTGACGCTGGCTTGATTATTCTAAGAGCATCTCAATCCTCTTACTGTCCTTGCACTCACTTTTTACAGACTTGTGTGAACAACTCCCGTGGTGTTACCACACCCTTCTTGGATTGCTTGATCTCATTGAGTAGTTGACACATAGCCAAAGTCAAGGAGCCTGGCTGGTCTAACTGCACGGTGACAGGTTCCTGCAATCGTTTATTAGAACAATTTGGTGAGTAATAAACTGCTTCATAGCGGAAAGGAAAATTCCACCATCTTTACAGTTAAACGCAATCAAAAACATTAATGGCAACTAACCAACTCTGAGGAGGCGACAGGTTCAATGTGAAGAGTCATTTTCTCTTCTGTCACTTTGTTGAGCGTCTGTCTTAAGAGGTGTGTTTGAGAGAGATTCTGAAGAAAACAACAACAATGGCAGCGATGAAAAATAATTCAACCATTTCTCAAGCCTGGCATCTTATGGAGCACAATCTCACCTGGATAACTGCATTAAAGAAACACGTGTTTCCCAGGTTGCTCAGCCCCTTTACTGAAACAACAGAACTTTCTTCAGACGTGTCAGGCTTTTCTAATTTCGCGACACTCTCTTTCTTGATGCTTTTCTTTTGGCGGTCTTTGTTTTCTTTGTTCTCACTTTCCTCCACTTTTACAGTTTCTATCTTTTTCTCATCTTCTCTCAAGTTGTCTTCCTCTTTCACTCCTGCGTCAACACAAACACAACACGGCGAGCATGACGAGGGGGAGTCACGTAAATCTGATCATTCAAACTGAATCACTGGAAATCAAGGATGTCAAACTTTCCAATGGGGGACCTACTTTTTTGAGGTCTCTTGATGGGATCTGCAGACGCTAACTTTCTCAGGTTGGTCACCAACTGAGCCAAATGTCCGGTCCTGGAGTACTGGACTTCATCGTCACATATGTAACACCTGCAAGTCGTGGCAACACGTGTTAAAAAAACCAAAAAAAAAACCCATCTCATCTCAAACAGCATCTGTGATTATGACAACCGTGACGACGACACACTCACCACACACTCCAGTTGTCCAAACTGATCACCAGACAATGCGGTTCTGACCGAGGAGTGTCATAGTGTTTGATGGCATGCTTGTTCTCAGAGTGTCGCCCACAACCCTGATTTAAAAAAAAAAAAAAGAAGATGCACAGATCATCGATCGTTATAAAGTCAAAATGTGAACGACAAATCGGTTGGACTAACTCACTCTGTGGCCACATTTCAAGCACATCCAAACAGCTTCTGCTTCACCCTCCTCTTCAGAGTCCTTTGGCAAATCGGTGCAAATATTTTCTTTGTTTTCTTCATGCTTGCAATCCTGGCAATTTGTCCAATCAGAATTCCCAGAGAGTTTCTTCAAAAGAGCTTGGTCTGATCCCTTTTTAATGTGTCTGCAGGATGGACCTTTAAAGAAAAGAGAGAGAGAGAGAGAGAGAGAGAGAGAGGTAAAATCACACAAGGCCCTCCACAGGTCACCATATGGTGGTGATGATGATGATGATGATGATGATGTCTTTTATTACCTGACAGGTCAATGTCCTCCTCCTCCTCTCTAGAGGTCCTGTCCTTGCCTCTTTTCTTTCCCATTTTCACCTGACGTAAAGGAAAATGACAGGTACATTTAAAAAAAACAAACACAGAAGTAATCCGGCTTTTAGAAATCTGATCATTACGATTTAGAGCCAGCAATATAAAACACACTACACAGAAGTAAACAATAAAATGCAATAAGATTTCACCCCATTCAACTCACCGTCACCAACGAATCCTACAACATCCAGTTTTCAGTTTCGTTTACTTAGTAATAATGACTTTTCCACTTCGCTCATAATTAATTTTTTTTTACCGGTAAATGTTACCCTTCAAATATGTGAGGTAAAAAAAAAAGAAATGTATTCAAGTTTTTGATTTTTTTCTCGTCTGATTTGATAGAAAAAATCCGAGTTGACACATGCATGAAACACAGGACCCAAAAAAAGTGGTGCCGCTGCTTCTCTTGTTCGACGTGTGTTTCCTGTGTGCAGCGCTCAAAGTAGTCCGACTTGAAACACCTCTCTTGATTACGAGGCTGCGGTTCGCTTAGAGCTAGAGGTACATGTAGAAGTCTGCTTCTTCTTCTTCTGTTTAAAGCGTGTTTAATTATATTTTATTGATGTAACACCCCTGACAAGACTTCAAAGAGTAACATTTTAGATGCTTGCTAAACATGCAACATGCCATTACTTAACCAAGCTGTAGTGTTTCATGAAAACGTGGCGTAAAGGCAGCTTAAAGCAGCAATATCTTTAAACTTGGATCTGCTCTGGGTCTCTTTTTAGTTTGTCGTTCTAATCATGTCTTCCTTGGAGTGGGCTGAGTGTCAGCTTGCAGAGATAGAGCTGCTGACGAGCATGTTTCCCACCCAGGAGGAGCTGGAGATCACAGACCAGCTGGCACTGGCTGAGCTCAGGGAGTATGTGGAGGGCTCAGCAGGCAGCCCTCCTCCATCCAGACCTCAGTTTCTCATCAAACTGAAGCTGGACACTGCAAGCATGGATATGGTAACTTTAAAAAAAAGGACTGTTATAATATGGCATTGTGCTTTCAACATGTCTTTAAAACACACAAAAAATAAATAAATATGTATTTGTTTCTTCACCTAGAGAGATGTTGTACTATCTTGTGCTTATCCATCCGAGTATCCCAGTGTGTTGCCAGAGATCACAGTCCGGTAAGCCGCATTCAAGGTTTTAAAATAAACACAAGTAAAACACTTAATAATACCAAATTGGCCAAATAACACATCATGTCCATCGTGGACATTTTAGGGAGGTCAGAAGAGACACAGACCAGTAACAGACTAATCATACACAGAATGTGAAATTGCAAGAAAGTTAAAGGTTATTTCCTTCTTAGATGGCCTTGCTGGAAAATGATTGTACGCATACCACAAAATATGCTATATTATGGAGGTTTTAATCAAAGCATAATTGTTAATCCTTGTATTATTCTATTATTGTATTTTTGTTTTTCACCCTTTTATTTAACAGGTGTAAATATGTTTGATTTTTAACTTCTTGTTATTTTTAATAATTATATTCCTGCTTCCTGTTTTCTAGAGCTGTTGTAACACAAAAATTTCCCCCAAAGTTTATCTTTATCTTTAATCGGATGGCGTGACATGTATCAGACTTTGTTGATGAATAGAGGCAGCTTGTGTTGGAGAGTATATATTTCAGTTTATTCTGAAATAGTGGCCACGTTCCTATGTAAACTAGCAATTTTGCATGATAACGTGTTGATACGTATACCTTCATGCCTCTTGAAGAGTCGTTATATTTATGGCGTTCTGTGTCATAGTGCAAATTAGCAAATGCAGGATTTCCATTAGATGTTTTGCGCCTTAGGATTTGAAACGTCTGTTTTAAAGACCTTGAATCTTCTCTGGATGCTTCTTAAATCATATTTTATTCTTGCCCCAGGTGTTCTGATCTGAGCAGAGCCCAGCAGACACAGCTCCGTGGAGATCTCAACTCGTACCTCTTGGAAAATTGCCAGGGGGAAGTATGTGTGCTCTCAGCTGTGGACTGGGTGAAAGACAACCTGCAGCTCTTTATTAATAAGAGTTTATCAGCAGCACCAACTTCTAAAAAAGAGACTGTTTCTTCACACTCAGAGGAAGTGTTCAGTCGACTGTGGATTTACAGTCACCACATCTACAACAAGACCAAGAGAAAGAACATCCTGGAGTGGTCCAAGGAGCTAGGCCTTTCAGGGTTTAGCATGCCTGGAAAGCCTGGCATTGTGTGTGTGGAAGGTCCTCAATCGGCCTGCGAGGAGTTCTGGTCCAGGTAGCTTGAACTTTGTTATTTATAGCAGCTGACATCACAGCCAGAAGTCTGCTGAGCTGCCAGGTTTATTATTTTCCAAACTTTTTCCCATTTCACAGAGTGAAGGTTCTGACATGGAAGAAGATCATGATTCGACATAGAGAGGACATTCCCCTTGATCATCAGGGCGAGGACAGCAGGACTGTTGAAAATATAGACTCCCTGCGCAAATTCACAGGCTTTGAAGAGGCGATGTTTGACCCCCATGGGAACAGAGGTAATCACATGGACCTTGGGCAGCTGTACCAGTTTTTAAATGAGAAAGGCTGTTGTGACATCTTTCAGATATATTTTGGCATTGAAGGGAGGTAGTTGACAGAACAGTATACTTGTTCCTTGTCACTGAAGTCTCTGTTTCTAAAAATAAGATTGAACTTACATTGAAATGTATTCATTACAGTTTTAGAGGATTTTTGTGTTTCACATGAGAGCACATAAATGGAATGTGAGCAGATAAGTGACAAATAAATCCCCTTTTTATGGCTGCAGCTCAGGGACCTAAATCAAATAAAAGCCGAAAGAACATGTCCGCAATTAGAAAAACAGAGATCTTACTTCTTTTAGCTAATTGAGCTTTTTTTTTTTTTAAAAGATGCATTTAAAGATTTAAAGAGTTTCTCAAAGACTGCAGCTATATTAGTAAATGTAATACCCCTGCAGATGCACCTGGCCCTAGATGTGTTTCTTTCCTCAGATGGCACCACTGTGTATTACTACCAGGCAATTACCAGATTTGTAGGTTTGATACAACATTAACTGGGCAACATAGTAAACATGTTAGATATCTGTTTATGAAATCTGTTGATTTTCCACTTTTTCATTATAGATAACATATCAACAGAGAGTCCAAAGTTCCACTTTTCTAAGAACGACAGGTTGTTGGATAAGCTGTGTGCAATCAAGGATTATATGTGCCATTTTTGTAAATGTAATCTTATTTTCAGTCCCCCTAAGACTGAGATGGACATAATAATTAAAAAAAAAAAAAAAAAATTTGGAAAGGTTTTTGTGGATTTCATTTAATTTGGAGTTCAGTGTAAAGGTTATCGTTTCAAAGATGGATCATTTTTGGTATAGTCTTTTTAGGCCATTAAATCAGTAAAGTGCACTCTTTACATATTTTAAGGGCTTGTTTTTTGTACCTTTTTTGAAGTCCATTTTCAATTCTATAAGACTTGTACACTGGGTGACAGTCTGATGAAATACACTAATGCTGTAACAGATACCACCGACATTATCTCCTCAGAGGAGTTTGAACTCTGAGTGAACATTTCACAGGTTAGCCTTTGTAAAACATTTACTGATCAAATGAATGGAAATAAACAAATGACCACTTTTAGGAGCTCTCAAGGACACATCATTTTAGAACAGGTGTAATTTTTATTTGTTATGTATTGGATTCAATTTGTTTGTGAACGTGCTTGGTTTACATTGCCCAGTAGATGGCAGCCTTATATAATCAAAGGTGGACGTTACCGGTGATTTACTGATTCTGACAGGTTTAAACCAATTGTATGCATAACCCTTATCCAACATGCTGTATAAACCTTAGAAAGAATAAGCAATGGGTAGTTATGATTTGTTAAGAAAATCAGCCGTTACTTGGATCATGAGTACACTGTTTTAAAAAAACAAAATCTTACTTCCTTAAACCAATCATGCAGATTAAAACATACATATTTCATGATGTAAGAAGGAACTATAAGGTTTTCTTTCTGCCCTTGTACATTACATTACAATCAGACAAAATAACAGAGTTTTTCCAAAAATGCGTAAATTGCATTGTCATATATTATATGGTTTTGTTTTTTACAATAATTTAGCCATTAAAAGCATTTATCAGTATGGGTAATTGAAGAACAGATACCACATCTAGAGATGGTTATGAGAAGGGGTTGCTCATACTCAACGGAGGCATAAACCTATTTTATCCTGTAAAAAAGAAAAAAGATTTGGTCAGCTGGTTTTGGTTATGATAGTCCTGCTCCTCTCTCAACCCTCAGGAAGATGATGTTGGCCTCAGTCAGACTTCTAACTTTCCTCTTCAGAAAATGCTTCAGAGGAGTCGTTTTCGTTTGTTTATCGTGCAGAGTTCACACCCAGGTGCTTCCACAGCTCCAGCTTTTCCCCCCCCCCGAGACATTAAACTCAGAATCTGGATGAGCGAACTCGTCCACCCCCTCATCCTGTTTAATATCTCTTCCTCAGTTAGAATTTCTGCAGCGAGGTCTCTCAAGTGAATCAGTCATTTGATGCTTTCATCATAAGTACTGTACTGTATGTGGCTATGACTCAACAGTCTTCCCTCCTATAAATAGCCAGGACTGATGCAGCTCAGACGCGCTTTTTGAATTGTTACTTGTAAGTTGGTAAACAACACATTCATAAACATCTCCGAGCTGTTGATGGATTCACTGCTGAAGTAGAGTTTTAAAAAAAGAACATCCAATCAATATTTCACAAATCCACTACCATCAAAAGATCAAATATATCTCATTAAACTAAACACACACATTTGACATTAGTTGAATCAAATCATTTGGTTGATATTTGCATATATGCATTACTAAATATGTTCAAGCACCCTCTACTAGTTAGTATATCTGCCATCACGAGGGTTTTTAGTCTCATCTGAGGGCGGATTAGCTGGATGTTTTTCAATATGACATCAAAGGAGCTGATATGAGTCACGAAGAAAAACGTTTCTACATTTACATATCACCTGCCATGATCGAAAAGCTTTGATAAAGGGATGTCCAGTGAAGTATGAAGTACTAGCAGTAAAGACACTTTAAATAAAGGCATAATCCCATTTTACTCTACACCTTTCATTCCATGCAAAAAACGACTTTCAAGATATTTAATTGTTTATTAATTTCACCTTTTTTTTTGACTCTACAGTCCTTCACTGCCATAACTGTAGAACTGTAAATGTACAAATGAAACAGCAGACTACATGTCCAAAGATTGGTTTAAAATGCCAAAGAGCTTATTCAATGAAAATGTGTCAAGGAATGACTCGTGGCTTACAAAAAAAAAATCTTTTAGAGCTCCTGTGCTTACTTTTTCTCAAAGTGAATATCTTCTTTATTCACTGTACTGATGAGTGGCACTTGTGATTTTCCAGTATATCATTGCCGAAAAGACTGCCATTCTCACTAAAACCTATGATGGATTTGTGCCTTTAGGTATGACTATGAAAAAACGAGTGGAAAATGGCAAAACAACCTTAGTCAGAGCCATCTGCTCCCTGAATCCTATCTGATATCTATCTGTAACATGTGAAAATAGAATAAAATCTGTTTGTAAAAAAACTCCTTCCATATTGATCTAATGAAATTGAGCAGTGTTATTGACCTACACTGTAGTTACAGCTGTGGAACAAGTTATCAACACTACCTCTGGTCAATACAGGTCAATACAAGCATAACAGGTCAAGTGTATCCACTTCATAACAGCTTTGTTATTGTCTTTGGAATTGCCAACTTCTTCTTTAAAGTGGCAGCGTACAGCATCTGTGTTGGATGAGTAGGCTACCTCTAGATTGGCTAGTACTGCAAACTGAAACCCAGAGTGCTTGTTCCAGAGAGGAAAACATGAACGATAGGACACTGACTTTGAAAGTGAAGACCGTTTAACTCTACAGGTGTTTTGATAACTGTCCCTATTAGTATTCTGGGTAAAAACCTAGGACTAAGATTTCCACACAATATACCAAAACAGATTATAACACTGTAAGAGGGGAGTCAGCCCTTTAACCTGTCATTATTTTCATTACAGTTGAGAACAGAACTCAGAGGCTGCACCAAATATACATCAGCTATATTGAGTTTTTTATATCGAAGAGTATAGAGGCTTCTTACTGCATGATGCATATCTTATAGCTTAGAAGTTTGGGCTTCAAAGTCAATGAGGTGGGCCTGTGGATCAAGGTTCTGCACAGTCGGTCTGGAAATCTCTGGAGTGTCATTCTGTATCCTCTGATCAGGGTCTCTGCGACACTGACTTCATGATCACAAAATTGCAGTGACAAGGTGATGCAGGTGGTGAAGGTTGGGCCAATGGTGACGTTCATTTCACTTTGACTTACCTGCCACACAGCATTGCACTGTTCTGTGACATATTATTACATTGAATGAAAGTAAGGGATGGGAGCGTACTTAAAATGGTTAAGATTGTGGGAGAAGACCATGGCGTACTTTTATGATTGGGCTGACATAGAGAAGAGAAATCATGAAAAGATTGAAAGAAAGAAGAAAAAAAAAACCAGCTTGTGAATCAATCAACTTTTCCAACTTAAAACATTTCTTGGATCTACTGGTGCTCATCATGGAACTCATCATCCATACTGACCTTCCACAGACGTATTCACATCACATGTTTGATGCAATGGGCCATCGGTCGACACTGAAACATGTTTTTTTAATGAAGAAGCCTATAGAGGATGCTACACAAAAATACTGCACATATGTCAATGCTGAGTAAAAACGAATCACATGTTAAAACTGCATCGGAGTAAATAGCTCAGCAAATGACTGAGAAATCATATTCTTTGTTCGTGAAGCCGATTTTAACAACTCTTTGTGAAAATCACTTTCACATTAAACTTCATTCACACATGATTTACTGGTATTTTTTCTCTTTTTTTAAACTTCATTTCAGACAATAACCCAATTCTGTAGGTCTACTGAACTGGTGATGCATATAATTGAATTAGTTTTGAACGTCACAGTGAGGTATTCCAACACACAGGGTTTTCATGATTTTGCTATGACTGGAACTCTCTCACAGAGCCGACCTAATACAAATAGTATTTGTTTTAAGTTACTCGAACCTGCAAAAATAGAATAGAAGATTTTGTCATCAAACCTATGCTGAGAAATCTTCATAGTCCTGAAAAAGATTCACACCACAGCGGCTTTACCTCCTATTTTTCAGAAACAGACTAACAAAAAAACAGACTAAAAAAAGTGTTCCTTGTATTAATATATTCCTCAATGTGACCGAAATAATCAACAGCTCAAATTCTTCTTTCTGGATATGTATTTAACAAATAGTTTTTTCTCAGATGTGGCACATTTGTACTCTGTTATTAAGGAGCATTAGTTATAGCATGAAACAATACAATTTGCAACATTGGCAGTAAATTACACTTATAATAAAATACAATCTCCAAACACAGCCAATCATGTGCACACATTTTTCATTTTCTTTTTGTGACATGAAACATGAATGCAAGAATATTAATGTGTACTGTAATGCATGAATGCATCAGATTGAATGTATGAAGACTGTATTCATTTGTATCTGTGGAAGTTGTGCAGTGATTCTAAATTCATCACGATGTCACAGGAGCTGCACAACCCGAATTCCTTTTCACAGCATATCATTCTGTTAATGTGCTTTGTGTTGCATTACCATTTTCAATTCAGCCAAAGTAAACTTGATAATCAAAGCAATTAAAAACACAATCAGTTTGTGTTTCCAAGTGCTCTGTGGAAACTTGGCCTGGCAGCTCTTTGGGATTCTGGACCTTCTCTCCTGATGACCCCTCAAGGTGAACTCTTGTATGGCTATCCATCTCATGAATACTAAATATGGCTGAATTAAACATTTTCCCTCTTCTCACCACTATTTAATCAGTTGTCTTACTGAGCTGTCTGTCTGGAGTAATCCCTGAGGCTCACCATCACACTGACTGGCATCACAAAGACAACTGGCACTCTGCTAAGGAAGTATTCAAACCTTAGCAAGCCCACAGGGTCTCCCCCTCTTTCTGTATGCACTCTTTAACTTAAGCTACACCACTATAAATCAAGACAAGATCTTTACTATACGTTTGCAATTTATCTCAGCAAGTGCAAGTGCTTAAATGCAGAAAACATTTAAAATGGGGTTAAGGAAGTGCCAGTGTGTAATCAGAGCAGAGCAGGGGTTAATTTAATGTCTGATTATCCATTCACAAATATTATTGACAGAGTTACTGGATTTTTCTGTTCAGCATGTACATTTTTTAAGATGATTGATTTCAAGACATTGCCATAAACTAGTGGACAAATCAAACCGTTTTTTACGTTTAAAGTAAACGTGAAAAACTGACAGTTGGGGTCAAAAGGCTTTTAAATATCACGTCTACCATCAAATTATTTTGTGAAGTGTACAGCTTCTCTTAAACTCATAAACGAACCATGGGTGTATTTGTCAGTCAGAAGTGGTCTCTGCTTTAAACCAGTAAATTGAAAAGGGTTTGCAGGCTTTAGAGACTAGTCCTGTTTGCTTAAAGTAAATCCTGACTTAAAGAGCCAAAAGTTATGACTACATTTAACCCCGTTCAAACAATGTAGTTCATGCTTTTCTTGTGCATTGATTGATTAATGACATTTTAAGATTAGTGTGATCAAGATGATTAATCGTCTAATTGTAGGAAATGTGTATTTGAGATTATGCGAATATGATTACGTGTGGCAGGCATTTATTGTATTACTAATGCTATTTTTAGCAATTGCAATTAAGCCAATGATGTCCAATGGCACTTCTTCACATGCAGGAAAAAGGAAACGACCAGAGGAGGGAGAGGAGAACCTTGATGATAAAGAAGCTGATGCCAATACTTGATGTCCACCCACATCCGGACAGCTGGCATCCTTTAGGCACAGCACAGCCGTTAGTCAGAACCTTTTCTGTACAATGTTTACTCATTAGAATGCTGTTTGCAGTGTAGAGTGTTTGTTCTTTGATAAAGGGAATTGAATCACTGGAGAAGGAATATTATGTTATATTCATTAAATATATAGTTGTAATTGTTTTATTTTTAATTTCTTGAAACCTTTTAACTTTTGTTCAACCCATCACACACAAATAAATCTCTCTGCTCATTACTTAAAGATGTAGAGCCTCATCCAGATGTCCATGAGGACTTCACAGTCGGTCTCTTGTCACATCAGTGATGTGAACCAGGAGTGCTTTAATATTAAATTATTAACACACTTTAAAACAATGATTAAAGCAAGGTTTCAACCATTAAGAAACACATCAACGTTGACAACTTATATTCTTCCAACAGTACGTATAGTAAAAGTTAGGCATTGTTGCTTTTGGTAAAAGTTTACGATGAGCCAGTGACGCACAATTTTCATCTCTAAATTGAAGCCTCGTTATCCAGTCATTGGCTTGCAAATTATTAATTTAGCTACCAGCGCGTCTCCTCCTAATATATTTCCAGTACATCGTTTACTACCGTATGTGCATCCATTAGATCCAAGCAATGGGAATCATGACTCTTTTTATTGTTTCAGATCATTCGGCTCAGCGCAGAAGCTTTTCATTTGGCTTTTACTAAATCAGCCAAATTTAGCAATGATTTGACCTATGAGTGATATGTTTGCATGTATTTTACAAAGTTATGAATTGTAATGAAGCTAAACCATATCATTCCCAGAATTAGACTATTTTACATCAAGTTTGGTATCCTCTACATTGAGCTCCTCTTGTCTCACTCTATGCTATGCCCCCGATGCTTTCTTTCCTGTCATCATCTCTGATTGGTCGCTTTCCCTTCCCTTTATTCTGTATTGTATTAAATAATGACAAAAGGGGAAAAGAGGAAACCAGGTCTCAAACGTGAGCCGGCTCCCATCGTTCAAAAGAGCCAGCTCGGTCACGTGCAACACATTTACTATTAGATGTGCACATTAACTGGGAATTCTAGATCGGCCAAGAAACATGAAAACTAGCATCTGAAAGAATTTGCAGTACATTCATAGACTGAACGACTACAAAGACACCCCTTTAAAAAGAGTCAAAATTATGTTTTTTTATAACCTCCAAGGATCAACACTTCAATAAAAGTGCAGCTCTGTCTTTTCATTCCAAAGAAATTTTTTATCTCTGTTATCAAACTAATGGCAGAATTTCCTAAAGCTGTCGTTTTATTGGAGGAACATCAGTTTCCCACTATCTAATATTCCAACTTTAATTAAGCCTCTGGTGAGTTCATTGGAAGAATCTCAAGTGCTCAAATCCAAACAGATGGCACATTATTTATTGCATACCTTATGCCACAGGTACTGGGTTTACCCCCCCCAAGACGACCCAAGACAAAGTTTCCCTTAATGTACTCTCCAGAACCTGCACGGTTCAAAATTCTGCCCAACAATACAGAAAAGTTTGCTTTAATTAGATCTAAAAATATAACACAGAATAAATCAAATGGCAGACAGACAATCCCAGGGCAGGCTATTTAAAGATGCACCACAGAGAATATGAGCCTGTGTGGATGAATGAGTTTGAAATACAGTTGGTCGCCCTGTTTCAGTCATCAATCTGTGGGCTTGCATGCGGCCTGATTCGAACAGTGGAGCCGCTGCCTCGCAAAGTGGAAGCCCTCATGCAGCAAACAAGGGAATTGTATCTGACTGTACACATTCATCTAGCCTAATGGCATGGTGATGCATCCAGGGGGGATACACAAGCTCATGTTCCTTGTTCCACATCATTTGACTTCTTCTAACTTCCACTTGGCCCTGTCACAAGTGGAAGTCTGAGTGATCTGTTTAATCTTATCAAATATGATTAGGCAAAACACCTCTCAAGATAATATCCTGCAGCCCTCTGATTCAGAAGCCATGCAGATGAAGCGTGAACGTTGCAGCTATAAGTCAAAAGGGGCCACAGAAGGCTCAGCTGTGCTCTACCTTAAGCTCCACAGGAAAATATGCCGTTTGAACATTTCTAAAAGCGAAAAAAGATTAAGCGTATCTACCTGAGGGTATTTTGACAAATCCACAATGTGTACCTGCAATGTGAGTTGGCATGATCAAGAGATTTTCTGCAAAGGACTCTCTTTCCAAGGTAGCAGCGGCATTGTAAACATGATGTTATTATTCTAGGCTCTGCTTCGTTAGAATAAACTGTCAATAAATAAAAGGACATTGAGAAATTTAGATTATTTTCTGCCTCTCTCTATTTTTTTTGCAGCCTATCTTTGGCTGCAGCAGCAGAGCAGTGATTACAAGAAAACAATTCCTAAATACTTGTCCTGCCTGGAAGGAAATATGAAAGATGACACATTTTACTTTTCTTTCATCAAATATAAAGAAAGGAAAACAAAGATGATAGATATTTTCTACTTATTATTAGGAATGATTGGGTTTCTTCACAGTGTCACAAATACCTATTTAATCTGTGATTACAAACATGATCCAGACCAAAAACATTTCTTCATCAGTTCTGTTCAGCAGTTCTGGTATTTGCTTTGCATCCCCCTCTGTCTCTGAAATCCCTTTATCCTTTTTCTTCCTCAGAAAATCACCCAGTGAATAATATAAGGCAATTTACATGCTTGGATAGTGAAAACAAGTGAAATTACTGTTATTTCTGCATAAAACTTTGTGCCGTTAATCCAAAAGAAAGACCACTATTTGTGTCAGGGTTGGAGGGCTTTTCATGTACAGTCTTCCTAAGGCTCCTCCAGATGTCACTAATCCACTGAAGAACTGTGAGATGAAACAGAAAAAAAAAATGTCCAAGTAACTGCATGAAAAGTAACAACCAGTTTCTTTATGTGGGAACAAGAAAACAGAAGAACACAATTTGGTTTTACTATGAAATCGTACAGGACTGGAAACTGTAAGGACTATTAGCTCAAGACTTCAAAATTTGAATTGTGCTGTAGACCTTGTATGTTTAAGTGTAATTTTTTTTTTTTTTTTAAGATTTCAATTTCTCCCTGAAGGATTTTGTCAGAGACTTCTGTTCCGCTATGATAAGAGCTTATTGTGAGCTGGAGGACTGATATGGACCCTGCCTACAGGGTACAGTGGGGATCAGTTTCTTCACTTTAGTAAGACTTACAAGGCCTCCTCAGAGGTCATGCTGTGATTGTTACATAGCCCAGGGTATGATTCTCACATTTCAAGGGTAAAGAGAAAATCCATTTTCCAACGGACTATTTATGATACACGAGTGTCCCTCCAAAAAATATCCAATTACTAAATTATGATTGATTCTGAGCATTATTTTATCCCAGGCATTATTCAAGACAGTCGATCTCCATTTACATAGCTTAACGAAGCACCGAGCCTTTAATAACAGGAAGGAGTGGGATAGTTGGAGCTGATGTTTATTTGAACTGGCTGGGCTTTTTGGTGGTAATGATTATGAAGTGAGCATGGGGAACTGTCTCTGCGTGAGGAGAGCGGGAGCGGGGTGATGTGTGCAGCAGGCAGATGGTTGGCCGGACAGTGTGCTGATAATGGCAACATTAGTCTGCCGGGAAGCGACATTATGCTCAAGGTCAATGGGAGCTGAAGAATGGAGGATCATAATGACACATACCCCGTGTCCTGGAACGAGACCTCTCTTTAAGGATGTTGAGATAGTTAGCATGAGCTCAGTAACCCGCACAAAGCTATTATGCCCATCCTCCGATTTCTAAAAGTTCATCTTTACTACTGAAGCAGTGGTAATGGACCATAAAGGTGCTTTCTTTTGTTTTCTTAATTGGAAGGCTGTACTGAACATTAAGGTGTTGAGAATACCACAAAATGTAAGACACTATAACATTTGCTTAAGTCAGTTTAATGAGGTGTAGTTTTTACACTGCTTTTCTACAGACCATTACATTTGTGGTTAGAACATATGGCTTGTTTAGATAATGTGGATACAGTGCACAGTTGCACACCATGTTCTTGGGATACTTATTTAGATCTTCCTGAATGCCTCATTTGCTCAATTCTTTTTTATCCTATTTGATTATGTGAAGTCTGCAGTTTTATGCTTTCTAATCCTCACCTATAGCACATATTTATCCTTCAGTAATCCTTACTTAGAGTAATTAAGAAGACATGAATGCAAATACCTTTACAAATCTATAAATATAAACTATACTCCTATTTTCCCAACAAAAAGAAAGCAACACCTGCTCTCTATTTTTCTTCTTTAGCTGCTTCTGCTATTTTACCTGTTTTTTTTCCCCCTACAAGTTTTAAATTTGGCACCTTATTAGCATACTTATTCCCTCTGTCTCTTTTCCCACATAGATGATATAACTATCTGCTTTTTCAGTGATCTAATTTCCCTGCAGGGATCATTGGAGTTTTCATCTTAAGTGTTATCATTTCACTCTCAATTTAAGCAATCAGCTGTATCCTCAAAATCCTATCCATAATGCCACATCAGGAAGTGGTTTGCCTCCAGTTGTCCTCAGCCCACTTCTTCTCTCAAGCTTGTTAAAACAAGGGCAACAGCAGGCTGCTGTATTAACATCAGCGGGTGGTTTCATGAAGCCACTTCAAGCATATCGAAGCCAGCTCCAGTGAGGCAGGGAAGAATTTTGGGAGACTCAAGTCTTCCCTTTGTCACCCTGTATTAATGCAGAAATCATGAGAGGAGCTGAGAGCTTCATGCAATCTTCCTGAGGAGCTCCATGTTTTTTTAATCCTTCAACTCTTTGCTTATATTATTAATACTAAAGGCTGAGTAATACTTGACAGTGTCATGGTACAACAATTAGAGTGCAGCTTTGGTCAAAGCACTGTCCATCAACATATTTTTGCCTTTTATATCTCTGTAGGTAAGCAGACTCATATTATGACTGTGGGTAATGTAATGTGATTCACCAGCACAAAGAATTCCTCCTGAGTGCATTTAAAGGTACAAACCTAGTCACAACAAAATGGCAGTTTTCAAGTTGTTCATATTTTAATCCACACTTTGTCTCTCTTTTTCTCTCTTTTTTTCTTTGACAGTGGCATAGTTGAAAAATGAATATTCAATACTGAGAAAAAAGCAAACCTCACACATCCCCCATAAAAAGCAAATAAATTACAGCGATTCAAACTTTGTACAAAATGACTTATTTATAGCATCATATGGAACTAACAAAATAACATGTATGAGCATTGGCAATGTGGTGACATGTCTTTGATACAGTGACTTTATACAGTGAGGGGATGTCTGATTCACCAATGCCTCAACATGTCATTAGTACTGTTTGCAGCAAACTCAAAGGCCATAACGGTGATCCTTGTATTGTTTTTATGAGAAGTTACAGAATTAAAAAATGGAAAAGTTCATGTCAGACAACTACTTTAGTAACAGCAATAATATCAATCAATATATTATCATATAATAAATGTCAATCATAATAAATACATTTATTTTTTAACATATTTTTTTTTACATTTTAAGTAATTCATCAGAATCCCTGTTTGAAAAAGTGTTAAAAGAATCCCGTCAAATTGACATCAAATGAAATGACCTGAAACCAAAATCTATAACCGGTGTTCGATCTTTTACTAAAATTGAATACTTACACATTATTTACATCAGGCAAAACAACCTCTTGTAAAACAATTGGCAGAAATTAAGACTTGTGGAATACTTTAAATACTGTATATGCTAATATACAAACTGCAATGTATCAGAGATCCCAAGATTCAACAATATTGTTCACCAATATTCACGTTAGCAAAGTATTTTACAGCAATATCCACACATTGAGCATAGTTGTTCAATTAAATTCAACATAAATAATGAACCGTCACGAGGTTCCACTCATTCAGTTTGGATCTTACATCAAAATCAAAGTTTCTCATCCATGACGGTAACGGCAAGTGAACTGAAAATCTTTATCGGGTGGAACCCATCACTCCATCTCGACTCGTATTGAATCCTGAGACAAGAATCAGTGGTTGTGTTCTCCCCTCATGTCAGTCCACAGACTTTTGTGCTTTAATCTTTTTAACTATGTTGGTACAAATCAACAGCATGTGTAAAAAATGAAAATCAATCAATGCAGAAATATTCAGACAGTGCTAAGAAGGATTGGATTTGATCTAGATGTCGTCTATCTATGTTATCAATGTGACACTGTGAATGTATGTAGTTATGGCCTGCTATGGTTAATGCTAGCAAACTTCCAAAACACACTTTTTATACCTTCTGATGATAATGTGTGACAACATGATGACATTTTTCTACAGTTTGAAAAGTTAAGACTTAACTCCAACTCGAGTTTAAGCACATTTCTGTTTGCATAATGAAAAAAAAGTACAGGTACATAAAGTGGAGTAACGTAAAGTCAGAATGAGTAGAGAGAAAAAATGCAAGCCATGAAAGAAATGCAGAAAAATGTACAGCATTTAGGCACCGTGAGACAGAAATGGAAACAATTTCAATTGTACATGGATTACATTAATTACAAAAGAAGAAGCCTGTATTGTCAGCAAATGCTTTGAAAACAAGCATATCCAAACATTAGCTTTCTGTAGAAGACAAAAGAATAAGTAAAGCAAAACGGATCATGTGGTGAAGCTGAGGCAGCTTAAAATTTGCATGTATGCTGTCAAAAGTAGTCATGAAACCAAGGGAAAGAGCAACAGAAGTCTAAATGAAGTACTCTTTCTTTTCCTCTGCATGCACATGGTTCCCCTCAGCATTGATGATGGCTGTGTCTGCGTCGGGTGCGTCTTCTGCTCCTTTGGCCTCATGTGTTAGGTACGTTCCTGAAGAAATACAGAGCCGTATTAAGTTAACCTTCTGCTGAAAGGAACCAGATTATACGTTTAATCCAAAGCAAGACAATTGTTATTCAAGGGGAGCTCAAGTGACTTTACCTTTATGTCTTGCCAGATATCGTCCAAGAACTATTATCAGACACATGGTGATGAAGACCACGACTGCAACAACGCCGCCGATTAAGGCGTGGTCAGGTCCATGTTGTCCTAAAGCATTGGGATCTTAAAAGAACGGGGATAGAGGGAATGGAGGGGAGAGTGGGGAGATTATGTTAACACCTGCAAGATGTGTGGCTGCTGTCTAACTCAGCTGTAGACATTTCTTTAACTGCAATGGAAATATTTTACACCTGCAATCATCCTGAAAAACGGCAGATGTTGCTTAAAAGCAAAACGCACAACATTCCCAAATGAGTTTCTGTTTTATGTGGCAAAACCTGACAAGGCTGCTTTGAAGAGCTCAAATTAAAGTAGAAAATAAATAATCATTCGATGTACCACAAATCTTTGCACAAATCAAAATAAAATGAATTAAAGGAAACAAAATGATGCAAGAATATTAAAGCTTTGACTGATGTTTTTGTTATTTTTCCAGCAGAACCTCTACACATGCTATCTTTTGTGTTTCCCCTTGCTCCCTGCTGGATTCTGCGGCTGAGGAGCAGGATTTTTAAATACGAGTTATTTAACATGAGGCTTCCTCTGGGCAGAGAGCGAGCTGAAGGTTTCCCAGGTAGGAGCATGCCTTTGTGTCTGTCCTGTAATAAACTCTAAGTGACTGTGTCTTTACAGTGCACCTTGTGTGCTCTCATTATCTCAAGCTGATGAATGGCTATGGCTTGTGCTCACTTTTGCAAAGTGACCCTGGGAAATGACGGCGGGGATGTTTCAACAAACCTCGTTATATCAGAATGCAACCCTCATTTCAGCAACCCAAAGTGTGGGAAGTTAACAAAAGGAATGAAGACGTGAAACATGCAGTTCATTTTTTATTACTCCATGCAGGATAGAACTGCTTCAGACTTTGAAGCAATAACTGATTTGGAAGACAAATTAATCAACTCAGTTTTGGTTGCATGTGGATGGAAATAATGATCTGTACAGCTGATTCCACTGTCAACAAGGGGCATAAGAAATGTTGGTATCACACAGCTGCTGCAAACTGCTCCTCCTACACCGCATTGTCAAATTAACACAATTGACTACATTTGCTTTCACCTTACAGTGGGAGTGAATCACCATCACATATTCATACGAATAGAACCAGATTTCAGAGCTTAAATACTCGACATACTCTTAGGATCTGTATGTCAATCTAAACAAAAGAGACAAACAAAACATTGACATTAAACAAGAAATTAACCTTCACAAAATGAAAAACTACAGACATTTAGAAGCACTTATATAATTAATAAATTAGTTTGACAATTATTCTGTTTCCATCCTTTCAGATTAGACATTCCGACTTCTTAACATCTTATTCCAAATACATATTTCCTACATATAAAAACCAGAGCAAACCAATTTTCTGCAACTGCCTGGCACATGAATATATTCATGAAAGCACCTGGAAACGGAAATATTTTTTCCCGATAATATGTTGTCAGAAATGTGAAAGATAAAGAGTTCCCACCAAGAATTTGGACTTCCCCCTTTGCTGTAAACACAAGATCTGAAATCAAATATTTAAACACTGGCACAGAAACAATCTCCAGGCCAGCTCCGCTCAGATAAAGCCGTCTCTTTTCTTTGTGCAAAGACAAACCAAACCAGAAACATATTGTGTGATAACTTATGCAGCCGGTGACATGGCTGGAGACAAAGCAGCTGGCGTCAGCAGAGTGAGCATCCATGCATGGTGATGGTTTGGCTCATGCTGTGTGGAGGTCGTGATGTGTCCTGACCCAAATCCAGATCCAGCATCACATACTGTTAATCTGGCTTGCAATGACTGCTAGAGAGATATTTACCTGTTGTAGGCCCTGGAAAGTCTTTGGCTGTTGCCATGGTTGCAGACATTGACAGCAGTGGGGGAAGACGAGGGGAACAACACCGTGATAAAGAAGGTGACCACAAAGTTCAAAGGAAACATGAGATATTAGCATGAACTATTTTTCTACTTTTCACTTTGACAGCGTGCAGTGGAGACGGTAAGCGGGGCTTGCTGTCAGAGGCAAATGAATGCTTAACTGGAGTTACTTGAAAAGGTCACTGAGAGAGCGGTACAAGATACATAAATAAGGACAGGATGAAAACAAAAATGTACATACTGAGATTTTCCCACTGAAGTCTTGGAATATGGAGCCGTAAAGATATTCGGTAGCTGCTCAGGCTGAAAAGCATCTCACAAACATTTTTGCTCCTTTTTTTAATTTTGAGCATTAAATAAAAATCCACTCACCACCATTACGAGAATGCATAGATCATGAGACAAATATCATAAAACCAGAAATAACGGAAGAGCTAACATCCCTAGAGGTAAATTAGAAAACGTGTTATTTGCACTTTGTGTTGACCAACTCTTTAATATAGAGAGCATGCAGTCGCCTTAGGAGTAATGAAGGATAGGTGTGGTAGAAAATAACTAATGTTAACACCGATAGTTCTATGAAGCAAAAGTTCTCATTAGTGGGCTCCTCTTTTGTTTCTACTGCACAGTCAAAGCACTACATATTGCTGATACCAGTTTCCAGCTTTTCTGCTGACTGTTTTGCTCTCAAACACAATCAATAAGACAACAAGCTAATAAACATGGATGGAAGCAATTCAGGGTTTACGATATAGAACAAAAAAATGTAAATATCTCATATGACATTAAATGCAACATGTTTGCTCTGCCTTAAGAATAATGTCATTATGTGTTTAGATGAAACAATTTAAATGTTAATGCAACTGTTTTCAGAAAAATGTAACATGGCCCCTGTTGGGTTCATTGAAAAATTCTACATTAGAGCGCGTCCCAAATGTGAGTAACAGTTATGCTTTATATAAAATACTAAATGCCCCATTGAAGTTATTTTGACGATCAAGGCAAACATTAAGCAAGTTCAAAGGCACACATAACAACTCTAATTCCATTCAGAGGCATGAACGGAAGTAAACACATGGAGCATGTCATTTTGATAAACATCATTCGGAGGTAATTGCATGTGCTCTTATGTTTGGTCGTAATGGTAGCAACCATTCAGCCTTGTAACAAAAATATAAACACTCTCATGTCTTCTATTTTCTGCTCCTGTGAATATGCAAATGTAAGCAATGGTTGACGAACAGTAAAAACCTGATGTGCTGAATGGCTGAGTATTGTTAGCTGTGGAAAATAAATCTAATCAGAAGCAGTAATAAAAATGCAGGTGAGGCGGCGGAGCTGTGCGTGAAAAAACGACAGCAGAAAAGAAAGACAAAAAATAGAGTATCGAATTCATCCAGTAAAACAATGCTATTTTCTAGCTCAAAGCCTAGTTGTTAGCTCATCAATCATCAACAGTGTCTTGTTTGTGAGTGTTGAGGTGGGGCTGGGGGGGGGGGGGGGGGAGCAAGCAGACCTATGAAAGCAGCTGTGACTGCCTTTGCCTGATGCAAAAATGTCAGCGTAAAAAGATTGGAAGAGTGGAGGCTTAAGAGAGAAGCAGGAAGCTGGAGATGGAGACAATAAGGTGATGATGCCTGCTAAACAAAAAGAAAAAAAAAAGAGAACAATAGGGAGCAAAGACAAACCTCTATGGACAAGAGGCTCAACATGAGGAAACTTAAAATCAGATGGCACTAATCAAGGACTTTATATGGCTGGTGCAATGGGGTTGATGTTTGTGATTAACCTCGGTGAGTACAGGCAGGTTAGATATATTTTAAGTCACACAAAGGACAAGCTGTGAATGAATGAAATCTTTCAGCAAAGTATTTGTAATAAAGGTCAAGTCATGAATGAAGGACTCATATTTCCTACATAGATTACCTTTTCAGGCAGTCGAGTGTTAGTGGGAAAGTAAACCACAATGCAGAGAACATAAAAACCATCTGATGTCGTGCTTTTTGACACGAAAGAACAAGAGATAAACGAGGGTGAGGGGCTGAGAAGCTGCAGCCAGCAGATGCAGTCACCCCTTGCCTGTATTTAACTAAACTCCTACCTGTAACCAATTGTCTAACATCTCACTCAGAGTCATTTTTATACGCCATTTCTTTGCTTTTTTTAATACAGTGTATGAAGGAGCATAATTGCAGACGGTGATAAATTGAGGCAGAGTGATGACATTTATTGCTTCTCAGCTCTCCTGTCATTAGCAAATTAGGCTTAGAGGCTGAGACGATCCGGAGAGACCCCGGGAAGTATTCAGCCAGACACGGCGTAGCTCTGAAGAATGACTGTCATCATCAGTGGAAATGAGCCCGTCTCGCACATCTTTTAAACGCTTGACTCAATTTTTCATCCTTCCCGAGGAACCAGGACCTTTGTGTTATGTGTGAGAGCGCTGCTTACAAGTTTAACTCTTTCCTCGGGTAATCTGACAAATAGGAGAAACAGCTCCCCGATACAACGCATGTAGAAAGCAGCCCAGGTAATTCAACTCATTTAAAGGTTTTTTTTTTTTTTATTTGGGAAAGTACAAATATGTTTTTATGACAAATTTTCGTGTGTGTCATCTTCCTTTCTTCATTTTTTTTGTCAAAGAAGGCCTTCCTCTCCCCAAAAACCTCTTCCCTTGTAGTCGGACAAAGAGTGTGCTGTGCATCCACTGACTGTGCCTGAGCCTGAATGAACCCAGTGTCTTGAAACAAACTGCACTGTCGTGTGTGACTGTTTGATTAGCCACAAAAGCCCCTCAAATAACGCCATGTTGAATTTTAATATTCTCTCCTTGATTTGTTTTATTGTTACTTGCCTGTATTTGATAAACGTTTATAAACATGTGCTGCAGAGGCATTAATGATCCATTCCCTGCACCATGCTGTCTTTATTCTCTCAGCAGCTCCACTGTCTCGGATTAACTTATCTCTCCTCCAGGCGGTCTCGGGGAGCTAAATTCTGCATCCTTAACACTTTTTCCCCATTTCCTCCCAGGGACAGTCCAAAAGCTAAACCTGTGTGGCAATATGTATAGTTCAGCGAGGAAATCTGGGCTATCCTGTGCAATGCAGAGGCACCAATTGGAAATGGACTCAAGAGGAAATCTACAAATTGGGTGTCCTGCAGCAAACAAATTCATCTGTAACAATGCACATTACTTTCTTGCATTAGTTTAGGTCCACAAATTGCTATTTTCTCATATCTGAGCCAGCTTAATTTACTAACATTTGAAAACATATGACTCTAATTTTGAACCTGGATAGGTGCAGCCCCAGTGGAAAGCTGGTATCAGTGTGAGTGTGCATAGCTGAATGAAAAGCAAACTGTAAAGGTTTATGTCTGCTGGGGGTGAAAATTACTTTATTAGTCTTGTCCATTTTTTCATGTTGAATTTGAGATATTTTTCATTTTGTTACTCCGCTCAAGGCAGCCCATTGGTTTTGAGTTCATCTCAGCAGCGTAAGAAAAATAACTGAATATCATTACTTGTAATCAATCGCAGTGAATACCTCGTCTGAAATTGATTTCCATCCTCAGAATTTCAATTTTGTTGCTGGTTCATACTCTGGAAACTTTTCAAATCAACCTGCGCTATAACAGCTTCACAACACAAATAAAATGTAATTCTGTCTCAAACTTCAAGTGTGAAATCTATTTGATTTAGACATAAATGAAGCATAACATTAAAATTAAAATTACTTTGATTTCATGCTTTATGATCGCTCTTTGGTCACGAGACTTCACAGACTTAAAAGTCCTCTGCCTGGAATATAAAGTAACAACAGAACTGATCATCCATAAAAAGACTAGTTGTTCTGGACTCACCATATACAAACAGTATATATTCAGCACTGTCGGTCCCCAGGTGGTTGCTCGCCTCGCAGCGGTATGTGCCGTTGTCTGTTTTGTTTAGTGTGGTGATGGTTAGTTCCCTGCCCTCCACAATCATACGCTCGATGTCTGGCAGCTCCCCTCCATCTTTAGACCACAGCACTGGTTCAGGTCTGGCAAAGAAAATACAAACAATACTTTTTTCTACTTTCTATTTCCTACAGGTGAAGAAATAATAAATAAAAAAACTAAAGAAATGAAACTTCTTCAATGAAAATAAATCACATTTCAAGTCCAATGTAGGCCTCTTGTCATTCTAGTAACTGGCACCAAATTGAGATTATAAATGAATGCCAACTTACATTGGGTTGCCTATGGAAACACACTCCAGTTTGAAGTATTGCCCTTCCTGTGGAATAATCAATGATTTTGCGATCTCCAGATGGGGAGCATCTGTGAAGAAGAGATGGAAAAGAATCCAATGCTGTGACAGCGCTCTGTGTAGGAGGCTTTAACTGCAGCACTGGCAAAGTACAACAGTAGTTAGTTCTTTACCCATAGGGCAGCTCTTAGCTTTAGCACATATCCCTGTTCTGCCTGGAACTAATCCCTTACCTGCAAACTAATCCCACACTAATCCTGAGCAATTGCAAAGCTAAACCTGCAGACATAAATGTAATCTCAATCCTTGTCTTTTCTCATTGCTAATCGTTTGCCTAATCCTGCTTTCTAGGGTGGGTGTGACTGCACTCACAGTGGACCTCCAGGACCTCAGTGGTCATGTAAGGGTTGGACAGAGACACGTGGTCCACATGGCAGGTGTAGGCGACGCCATCATCTCGTCTGTCCACACGCAATTTGAGACTACTCCTGACTGTGAAGGATTTTCCAGTGGCATTTGTCTTTGTAGTTCCTAGAGAGAGTCAGAAAAATGAAAATGGGTAACAGCCACTTAAAATTTGTAGTATTATATGGGGAACGGGTCTGGGTTTTGTGGAAGCTCCACATGCAAGGAATTATATTTCGAAAAAGAAGCAGAGAAAAACAGAAACCAGCTTTTACTTTAACTATAACGTGAGAAACATGACATTTTATTTCAAGATTTTTCATTTCTGACATAGACAGCAGCAGCGTTTTGTTGTTGTTTTTCCTCTGCATCTCCTTTGAGGGAGAGAGTCTTGGCCTTTGAAAGTCAAGTCAAAGTAGAGTGAATATTGAGGGAGAGCCGTATGAGCGTTGACTCGGTTGGTTGGGTGTGTTTGCTCCTCTAGGACCATCTCTCAAACATCCCAGTCAACAAACAGGCACACACTCCCCCGGCAGTGCAGGGTGGATTTCCTTAGTTCCATAGTCAAATCTTTTCTTTCTTCTGTCTGCTTTGTCTAACTCTCATGTCCAGACATTCACCCTTTTCATAGCTTCAGATCTCGAGTTGAGTTTTTTTTTCTTCTCCATACCCTCTGATGTTGTTTATATCTGGAGATGACTCTTAACTTATAATTGGAAACATTTCTTTGCAATTTGCTGCTACTCTCCTGTCAGCGCTTTGTGTGGTGGCACCACTTTCCATAGAACCAGCTGTACACAGCCACTTAACAAGGCGAAAAGCACACAGGCATTTCTTGACGACAGGCCTAGACAGACTTTTCACAGGAGACGCTAAACTCCTCGCAACTCGCACTACACTACATCCTTCCACTTCCATCTCTTCATCTGCCTGGACTTTCAACCGTCCAGCGCTAAACCAACTTAATCATACTGACATATACTCACTCCACTCCTTTACTCACAAGTAACACACAGAAACGCACAAGCAGCACATGATTCGTTCAATCCCTTGGTCTATTAACTCCTAAGAGCTCCTTGCAATAACGCCCAGAAATCATCTTCATTTTGGGTTCATTTGTCCCATTTGTTCCACTCGACTGTTTTTCTTTCATGTGTAATGTAAACTGCTACTCTCAATCATTTTCATGTTGCTCATTCGTTTTTTCTTCTATACATACAAGAATGATTTGAGGGCGATGAGTTGTAATGGCTTAATGAATCCTAAAATAATGCAGATAATGCTCATTTTGGTGTTTCTAATAAGTTTTTCCTCAAAGCTTATTTACTTTTTAATTTTATTTTCCATTTTATTATAAACAGCAATTATTGAAGTTGTTGACATCACCAGTTTAAAATCTGGTATACGGGTAATGTCAGTGATTGGAAAAGATTGTTTTTATTACCCTTTTAGCACTTTTTGAAGTCTGCCCTGTATTAGTAATAGCAGTAAGAAGAAAAAAAAGAAGAGGACTACAAAATGGGAGGATAGAAAAAAAAAACACCATTTCAGTCCAACCTCCAAAGCCTCCAGGACATCATGCTGGTTATGATTAATGCATCACAAATAAGATTATTTTTGAAACGTAATTTCAAACATCACATATCATTTGAGCAGACAGGAAAGTCAGAGGCCTTGCATGTTTGAGCCAAAGACCTTGCATCTTGCCCTGAAGTATTGAGGGGGGATAGTAAGTACCTCTGTGGTGTCAAAACACAAATCTCTCCAGCTTTCCCTCTCATTCATCACGTCGCCTGTAGCATCAGAGCTGCCACAGAGAAGCTGTCAGTCTCTTTCAGGGCGGCTGCTAGCATCGCCACAGAGCACGCCGAGGCAGCTTTCATAAGAATGTGAATGTGCCCGTTTTCACCTGCTTTGAACCAGACCCCCAGCAGGCAAGCAGATCTAACATTCAGGCAACTGGGGGCACTGCTGTCATCATCTCCTCTGTGCATGTTCTAACAAAGTGGAAGTTTAGTGGCAGCATTTTACAGTTTACAAAGTGTGGACCTGTTATAGTTTTTTTTTTTTTAAAAGACACAATTAAAAATGGTAATTGTTCATTGGGTCAGCCAAGGTTTGCCCAGCCTTGAAGATATAACTGCATAACAAATTAGGTCTTTGTTTATGTTATGAGTACCCGAGATGTATTCTTAATAGCAAATTCATTTTTTACACTTGCAACTTTAAAACTTGCGATGCCAGAACCTACTGCAGAGTTGCAACCTCCTGCCTGCTGACCAATAAGTATTAAAAGCATGTTTTATTAAGTGTTGCCCAGTATGGTACTTCATTCTGTGACCTATTTTCTACATTTGTTGCTGCTGAAAGCAAAGTTCAGCTCATATTCATAAGGTACAAATGCCTCATTTGGTGTAAGGCTAATGATATTTTGGAACTTGCTCAATCTTAATGAAGCATCATTATTATTGGTAGTTTGGGGGTACAAGCACCCATGAGAAAAGCTCAACACTACTGAGCTGGTGAAGCTGTATCTGGGTTTCCTGTGAAATTGATCTTTAACCGTCTGATTCAATGTGGTTGTAGAGAGGAACATACAACATCTTTTACTATAACAAGGGGTTTGTCCATTCATTTGGACCTATTTTCTATCATTCTGTAATATTTGAAATCAATGAAGATTTAAAGACTTGTATTTAAAAAAAACATTTGTAGCAGCTGTGAAAAGTGGAGTCCTGTTTCATTCTCCAAAGACTTTCATATTTCAGTGTTTGGCTCAACTTGACACAGAAGTAGTTCCTGCACCATTAGTCTAATAAAAAGGCTCAGAAAGAAACACTGAAGATAAATAAATAGAAAATTGTGATGTAGTGAAAGGCTCACAAATATAACTACACATTATTTTGACTGTTGACTAGTTTTCAACATTGTGGCAAATACCATTTCTGAAATGAATGTAACGTTTTCACTTTCAACAGAAGATGTGAGCAGCACAGGTCTGCACATATCACTACTGTCATTTATTATTACGACCAGCACAGCTTAGTGCGGTCAGAGAACCACGTTTCAAACAAATGCTGCCTGACTGTTGATTACATGTTGAATCTGATAACCGTATTACAAATGTTTGAAAATGTGAAGTTATCGCCTAACACAAAATAAGAGTAGAGACATGCACAAAGCTCAGGTCCCTCTTTCCATTAAGCAGATGATGCTCTATACTCTTTTTATTTGACACCAAAAAAAAAAAAATCAATGCATGTCTTTGAATAACAATTCCTTTTCAGTGCAAAGAGTAGGGATTGACTCAAGACATAAAAACATTCACATGCTCTGTCGTTTGCATTTACATACTGATTTCATATAATTTGATGTCATTCTTGAAACCGTCTTTGCCACATAATTGAAGATTTTTATTCTGATGTCTTCAAATGGTACAACTAAAGTAGGTTTTATAACACGTGTGTCCACAGTGTTAAAACTCATAACCCTTAATATTTTCCTCCATAGCTTCCAGGTCTTTCAACTTTATTGGAATACAAATTATTTTTTTTACTTTGTTCTCCAGGGGAAAAGAGATAGTTTTAACTGAGGTTGGACCTGCTGTGGAAAACGTCTAAAAATAGCTTACCATCTAAAGCAAGAAATGTGAGAAAACACCTAGAGGTTTTAAAACATATGCTGGTTTAGTCCTGTAATGTGGCTCATTTGTAAAAGTCTCAGATGCTACCCACAATGTTTCCCACTAACTTACAGTGTAGAGAGCTGGTAAATAAAAGAGATGAAAACATGGCATTGTGTTTATAGACTTTCCAGATGTTAGACTCACGACTGAAAAAAAAAAAAACACATCATGTTGAAATGATACGTAAATATGCAGCAGCAAATAGATGGTGCTGATTGCTGCAGGCGTTAAAATGACGCCTCCCATACATATCAATGTTGTCCTGAGGGGGTTAAAAGCTATCTCAGGAACAGAGGGAAAACAAGAGATCCTGTCAACTGATTTAGAAGAACACCAACTACTCTGGCCAACACTATCAACTCAATGATAGTATGATACCATTCATTATGAATTAAATTATACATTATACATTAAGGTTGTTTTAAAATGATTTAAGTTGCCTGATGATTTAGAGCAACTACACTATAATGCCATGGTGTTAGTTTTGTAAGATCAGATAAGATCAGACAGTGTGGGCTGACATGATGCACTGACAAGCATATGAAAAATATTCCCCCCCCCATCCTGTACTTTTTCCTACAGCCGATGCTGTGTACAGGAAACACTGTGTGATCATCAGGTCTCTTTAATTTAGAAGAGCATAGTGCAAATATGAATATGAGGAAGCAATTTATTTTCTTTGGTAGACATTTTTTTTCCCGCTGCCTCAAGAATATTGCTGTTTTTTTTTTGACAATGACAATTCAAAGTTTTCAAAGAATTGACAGGATGGTAAAAGTTGAAGTGCACGATCAGCAGAGAGCAGGGATTTAAAGTCTAAAGTAAGCAGTGTTTCCCCTAGGTTTACAGCTTTGGGGGGATGGACACACGCCGACATGCCGACACAAACTCTTGAAGGAATCTTGGTGTTTTTGCTTTTTATTTTATTTTATTTTTTTAAAGATTTATTTTTGTGCTTTTGTGCCTTTAATGGAGCGATAGGACAGTGGACAGAGATGGATATCAGGGATAGAGAGTGGGGATTGACATGTGGGAAAGGAGCCACAGGCTGGATTTGAACCCGGGCCTCCTGTGTTGAGGACTACAGCCTCCATACATGGGACGGGCGCACTAACCATTGCGCCACCAGCAGCCCTTGTGTTACTTTCAAAGAGTAACTAAACCTTAAAAACACTTTTTTCAACCATAAACCTCTGTATTTGAGTATTAAGTAGTGTTATGGATCAATTCAAGTCCCAATCTCGACATGTGAGTACAAAGTATTGAAATTCGAAATATTGTGTTAGAAATGTGCAGAGTGTCTGCCCTTCTGTTTGAAAAATTCTAAGGGCTGTGTGGAGTACATGATTTGTTGTTGTGTTTTCTTATTTGTTGTTGTGTTTTCTTATTTATCGTTGTGTTTTGTGATTTGTTGTTGGGTTTTGTGATTTGTTGTTGTGGT